AGATTTCAAGACCATTGCTGTCTATATAAAGGAAGAGAGAGCTCCAGGATTTCATCTAAAACATCTTAATTTGTTTTCTGAAGAAGAACGAAGCTCAAATTGCATTGAAATCAGTGGCGTGGCGGACGGGCCCGCAGTGATGAGGGGCCCTGTGTGGTCACATCCCCTAAACCCTTCCACCCACATTCTTCATTTAACGTGATCATAACTTACCTTGAAATCAAAGTGCCTTAACACCACCGCCAATTTAGTCTATAGGTCAGTCTATAGGACCGATGGTCTCTTTCTCTTTTAACAAGTAATGATTGGCCAAAAGAGTCAAAAGTCTAGCTTGTGAAATCTATCAACACCTTGGCAAATGCAGATTCATACCTGTTGGTGTGGGAGTTGTTGTGCATGAACCAGGAGCGGTTGTTGTCCACATACATGGCCCAGGCCTTATCGTCCTTCCCCAGCATCATGTCCTTCATGGTATTAATCCGCGCCACTCCGAATGCAGGGTCAGGGTGGTTATCATAGCGGTCCACGCTAAGCTCCCAGTAATGCACACCCTTGGAGAAGGCAGCAGTTCCCAGCACCACACGGTCATCGTAACTGTTACACGTCACAGTTTGGTTTTCATTGGTCAGCACAATGTCTCTGTGAGCGGATGTTGGGTCGAAGGTGAACCATGCCACTGCAGAGGAGAAAGAAAAAGAGAAATTTGTTAGCATGAGGTAAGTGTGGTTTAAAATGGGTTTTCTGTTTTTGATTTGTTAAAGAAGTGCACATTAGTACCCTTTCCCAGATAGCATACGAATGTGGGCCACAGTTAAGGCTGATTTATACTTCTGCGTCAAATGCCGGCGTATGCTACGGCGCTGACACAAAGCCCTTCACCGTGGCCGTCGGCGTCACTGACGTGCACCTCTCAAAAAATTTAACTACACGTCGCAACAACGCGTAGCGCAAGCTCTGTGATTGGTCGGCTTGGTAGCGCTGACAAGTCTGGGCGGGACCAAGAGCCGCGCGAATGGCGCGAGCGATTGTTTACAAGTGTGGAGTCCCGTGAAGGAGCTCCGGATGGAAAGTTTTGTTTTGTGTTTCCCTCATAGTTAAAGTTGTTGCACGTCCGCCGGTTCCTGCCTCAAAATGAGCGAGTTTGAGTCACTTGTACAAACAGGAAGTGTTCAGGAAAAGCAAAACAGAAGCCAAGAAACTCGACACAGAGGAACATTTACACCTCACTGCCAACTATAAACCAGGCTTTATGCTTAATGTATTGAAGCTTTCAGTGTTTTGAGGGATATTTAACGTTTTCTGACTTACAGTATACTCTGATTTGCTATCTCAGATGTTACTGTAGGTCAAACTACAAACTATGCAGCTAATCTTACTTTACTTTCAGGCTATGTGTAGAAACAAACAGCTAATTTACAGGAAAAGTGTCTATTGTTGGAAAATAGGAATCATTTTTTTTTTTTTTGTCTCTTTTTCTTTTAATCAAACAATTATTTGTATTGGTCATGTAAGATAGACGCGGGTCCAAAATGAAATTCAGCTCTGCAGAAACCTCCTGTCTGAAGAGAGGTGTTAAAACTGAACGCAGAAAGTTGTATGCTTTTTTTGTTGTGCAGAGAATTCGTAGAAAAAGAGGAAGTATGTCTAAGAGTAACGTTAAGCTAGAGGGCGCGGGCGCGACGAAGATGGTAGCTGAATGCAGTTTCTCGCCCCAAAAACATGGCAGAGAAAAGGAAGAAAACTTATCACTTTCACAACGAATGGGAGGAGGATTTTTTTTTTTTACGACTGAGAAAGAAACCTGCGTGTGTCTCATTTGCGGGGCATCTGTGGCGAGACGATATGGAGAGACACTTCACTACGTGTCACAAAAGCTACCATGCTAACTACCCACCGGGAAGTGCACTACGGACAGAAAAGGCCCGTGAGCTGACGGCAGCTTTGGGTAAGCAACAGTCTTTTTTCACGAGGCCGGCGAAAAAGTCACAAAAAGCAAACGAAGTTTGTTTAGAGCTACACATTTTCTGATCAAGAAGAAGAAGGCAGTGCCATGGCGAAGTTGAATTAAAATATTGAAGAATTGTGTTCAGTTTAAAAGTGTTTTTAAAAATGCCACAGATTTGGTTATTAGTTTAAAATGTGACAAGATGTATTTAAAAATATGTAAGTTGATTTTTCTAACATTACATAATTGATAACTTTTTGAAACAACAATTCATGATTTGTTAAAAGGGTTTGTCAGTGGCTAGTGAAAATGGGACATTTTTCCTATGAAATGTAGTGATGTAAGTGATCATCTAAAAATTACTGATATTAAATAACTGAATATTAATATCTGTTTCCCTCCTTTATTGTCATTGTTGCTAACTACTGTGAGAAATCATTTACGTGATTAGTGTCTTCACATAGATGATATTATTAATAATGTATAACTAAAGGCAAACTGTTTGTTATTTCAGAAGAGCGTATCAAACTGGTACCCCTTCGTATGACTCAGTACCTATGAAGTAGCTCTTAGTTTCAAAAAGGTTGGTGACCCCTGCCATAAAGAAACTGGCGCGATTTTGCATTCTAAATACCTATAATTTTAATTATTACAGATTAAAGCAAACTATTTCTCACTTTTTAAAGGACAGTCCCCCCATTCGTGTTTTTTGACGTCCTTTAGGTGGGATCACGCATTAATTAGTGGGGTCAATTTCCCCCAAACCCCTTTGTAATTCGCAAATTGCACTTTTCTCCCCCACTGACTTCCATTCATACACATACGCATGCGAATGCCGAAGACCGGAAATGCAAGCTCGAGTTTAGCAGTTTGCTGCGATGCAAAGTTCAAGCTTGGTGAACTCGCATTACATGACTACATGAGACTAATCGAAGATCAAAACATGACCTCTCGGGACAGAAATGTAAAATATGAACCAATCGCTCACTTTTTTAATGTCTAATCATCTTGTAATTAAATCTCGCCCCTTTTTTCGCAGAGCCGAATGACAGAAATTCTCATGCTCAAACTCTAGTGTTACCATGGCATGACTGGCAACGTAACGAGAATGTATGAACTGTATGAAATCAGTATACCAGTTACCGTTAAATACCGTCATTCAGTTTGACCACATGGTGGCGTTACAATGCAAAAAAGAATAACATAACAGCAGTTTGAGTGACTCGAAAATTGCAATAGTTTCTAGATGCACCCTTTATGATGCAAGCTAAGATTGCATCACTCAGCGATGCAATGTCAGACACATTTTACTCAATGGAGTGAGCGACGTCACTGTGGCAGGTAGGGTTAGGGGTGGGGTTAGGTGAGAGCATTAAAAAGCATTGCATGCAGCTCAGATTGCACTGCACCAGGTCTGCATCCAGACGCCTCTCGAAAATTGGCATGCAGCGTGTTTGTCAAAGGTGATTTAAGTAAAGTTAAGTGGCTTAAAGTTCAGAAATATTACATAATCTGACATACTTAAAAAATACACAATAAGATCACAAGAGTTTCACCCCCCCATCCCCCCAAAAAAAACACACACACACACCCTTTTTTATTTAAGGACAGTTATTTCATATATATCCAGCAAATAAATGAATTCCCAAAACACCTTCAGCTAGTGTGAGTGCAGTCATCGTAATTTGCAGATCACACACACACATAACTACACATGTGCGCTCTCTCTGTGATGCATGATTTATTAAAAGGAATGAAATATTGAAGCTGATGTGTTCTCTGAGAAATGAAGTTTCAGCAGGAGAGTGCCTGTAAGGCAAATCTAGCATCAAACTCTTGAATATCCTGTGTTAATTAAACATCTCCACTGGGACCGTTCCATGTAGTTTTGCAAACACCCCGTTCACATTTATATCAAAGACCTGCCAATGTAGCTATGACTAGAGTTTGTCTTAATTATAATGGTCTTGGACTGCTGCAAAACTGGGGCATTGTAATGTCTATAAATTAATGTATTGTTTTAGTTAACTTTATAATCTGAATTACATTAATAGTCACATTAAAATGAGTTGTTTTGATGAACATGTTATTTATTTATTTAATTTTTTTATAGAGCCACTATGCTTAAAAATTCACTCAAAAATAATTACACAGAAATGTATATTCATCCTAAACATTGTGCATGTGCTGTTAAAAGATTTTATAAATAAATTAATATAAAAAAAATGGTTACACTTCAGTTTAAGGACCAATTCCCACTATTAACTTGTGGCTTATTACCTGCCTATTTGTAAGGAATTGGCTGTTTATGTGTCCTTATAAAGTACATATACCCAATACCTAAACCTTAAACTGCCTTAAAAACTAAAAACTATAAATAGTTTATTGAGGCATAGATAAAGTCATAGTTAAAGCCATATGGAAAGGTTTCTTAATATAAAGAATTGTAATTTTAAATAAAAGTGTGAACAAAATAGGATATTGAGTAATATAGCTACAACTTTTAAAAAAAGATGTGGGACATAACCGATGATGATTGGTGTGTAGTGTGTAGGGGTGGGACAACCACATAACCGATGATTAGTGTGTAGAATTGGGACAACCACATAACCAATGATGATTGGTATGTGTGTGTAGGGTTGGGACAACCACATAATCGATGATGTTTGGTATGTTTGGTGTGTGTGTGTGTATGTGTGTGTGTGCGCGCGTGTGTGTAAGGTTGGGACAACCACATAATCGATGATGATTTGTGTTTATGCAGGGGTGGGACAACCACATAACCGTTGATGATTGGTGTGTGTTTATGTAGAGATGGGACAACCACATACCCAAAGATGATTGATGTGTGTGTGTGTGTGTGTGTGTGTGTGTGTGTGTGTGTGTGTGTGTGTGTGTGTGTGTGTAGGGGTAGGACAACCACATAACGGTTGATGATTAGTGTGTGTTTATGTAGGGGTTGGACAACCACATAACCAAAGATGATTGATGTGGTGTATAGGGGTAGGACAACCACATAACCGTTGATGATTGGTGTGTGTTTATGTAGGGGTTTGACAACCACATAACCAATGATGATTGATATGGTATGTAGAGGTGGGACAACTACATAACCGTTGATGATTGGTGTATGTTTATGTGGGGGTGGGACAACCACATAACCAATGATGATTGATGTGGTGTGTAGGACTGGGACAACCACATAACCTTTGATGATTGGTGTTCTCGAGTTCGACCTGAGCTCGGACTCCCCTCTTGCCTTGCAAACGGGAGGGAGCCCCGGGTTCGAGGATCTTATGCGCTCAGGACTCAGAAACAAGTTTAATAATCAATCATCAGCTAAGTGTGAACTCTTGAAAACATTACATTTGGCAGATGTGTCTTAAATTGTCCCACAGCAACCTTAAAATTGTATAGAATCGTTTAGAATGTTTTACAATAATCATTTATTTTAATGTCTATTTCATTATACATAAAGTTTATTTCATTTTTTTTCACAAAGTAACTCAGTAGTTACTTTCCCTGGTAGTAAATTAGTTACTTTTATAATGATGTAATTCATTTACTAACTCAAAAAAGTTATACCTAATTACCTAATTACTTTTTTTGAAGTAGCCTCCGTAAAACTGCAAGTAAACAGTCCTTAACAAAGACACAAATAAGTATAATCAAACAAGTCAGTCAAGTTAATAATTCAATAACTTACTCAAAAAGTGGAGTGAAACAGTGAAAAGTCTAAATCCTTTTTTTAAAACAGCTCAGTCTAAAAAAATCAAGTCTTTGTGTACCTGAAGTTAAAGTAAAAGCCTCTACATCTGCAGTGAGATGCTTGATCTGTGGAGCTAAAGGGTGATGAAAGAAGCTCCCAAAAACACTCATTAAAGAGAAGCATCCGCAGCAGGGAGCCACGGAGAAAAGGGAATATATAATGTGTGAGCTTTGTGCGTGTGTATGTGAGAGTCGAAGATGGAAAACAAGTTTTTAAAGAAATCTCTGAGGTGAATGAAAGGAGCGACCCACCGTCAGATGTCTTCAGCACCACCACTTTGCTGTACGCTCCCACTCCAGCAGAGTTGTAGGCTTTTACTCGAGCGCTGTAGGAACTGTTGAAATGGAGGCCGTCCACTGTACAGACGGTCTCTTTGCCCACGTAAACTTCCTGAAACACGGACAGGGAAAGAGGCAGACGGGGGGTGAGATAGAAATGGAACTTCTGGGAACTGATCTGGGAACTGATGATCTTAAGATTTAGGATGATGGTGCATGTTTGCCATCAATTATGAATTGAGCAGCAGATGTCTCCAAGAGAAAAAATACAACCTATGTTTTTCTTAGCATTTTTTTAAAAACAAGATAAAATGCCTCCTGCAATCATACATGGGAAATGTGTATGGATAAAAAAAAAGTTATTTTCAAAAGGAAATTCTTCTAAATATGGGTAATCAAATTTGTTATCTGGAAATAATAACTTTTTCCTTCCAATTACAAAAAATAAAGGAGAATTATTGGATGAAATTGGATTGTTACTAATTGCTGTTAAATAAGTCAAATAAACAAGATATTTCAAGAGTTCCCACTTAGATATGCTTGGCATTTAAAGCAGGTTTGGCATGCCGTCCCGGGAGAGAACCCTGAGCTCGGAGATATTTGAGCCCAGGGCTCCCGCCCAGTCAATAAGCATATCAGGGGATCCGAGATCAGGTAGGTCTCGATAGCTCCCCCTTTAGAAAGGGGAGAAAAAGGAGGAGATGGGGTGGAAAGGGGGGATTCTTCCAAAATGAAGATAAGGAGAAAGAGATCCGTTTATATTGAGCTAAGATCACTCTGATTGGATTATTACTGATTACGGATGAGTGGCCAGCAGTGCTCAATCATATCACATGCTCCGCTCGAAATTAGTTTATGAAACTTCACTTAGTAAACAACACCGACATTATACACTCACCATCACTTTTTTAGGTACACTACATTAGGTATTAGGGCCAACTGCTTGTTAGCGCAAATTTCTAATCAGCCAATCACATGGCAGCAACTCAATACGTTTAGACATAGACATGGTCAAGACCAGGGGTGGCCTGGTCAAGACGATCTGCTGCAGTTCAAACTGAGCATCAGAATGGGGAAGAAAGGGGATTTAAGTGAGTTTGAATGTGGCCTGGTTGTTGGTGCCAGACAGGCTGGTCTGAAAAAAAAAAGAGTTTCCAGTGAGCGGCAGTTCTGTGGGCACAAACGCCCTGTTGATGCCAGAGGTCAGAGGAGAATAGCCAGACTGGTTCCAGCTCAAAGAAAGGCAACAGTAACTCAAATAACCACTTGTTACAACCGAGGTATGCAGAAGAGCATCTCTTACAAACTTGAGGCGGATTAGCTACAGCAGCAGAAGACCACACCAGGTGCCACTCCTGTTAGCTTAGAACAGCAAACTAAGGCTTCACACTTTTTTGTTGGGCTCGGACAGAAAACAGAGAGAGTTCAGTTCAAAATCAGGAGTTTTATTTGCAAAAGGATGAAAAAAGGCAGCTGCCGATCCCCGACCAACAGTGGGAGAACGCAGACTGGAGTGAGAGCAACTGGTGAACCGCCTTGGCTCCCTTGGAGCGGAGCGAGGGCTGTAACTGGCGAGCGCTGGAAATCAGCCCTGAGGAGACTGCGCAGATCACAGTACGCAAAAGCGATAAGCTGATGATCAAAGTAACCGGGCTAGACTAGACAAGACTAAGATGTAAAGTTCACTAGAGAGCGAGAGCGGGTCCGTAGGTTTTAATCAACACAATAATCCGACAAAGAGTAACAAGAAGGAGCAGGTATATATAGAGAGACAAATAGACTCAAATGGAAACAGGTGAGTAATGCATGCCCGCCAGCGCTGATTGAAAGGGGAAACAGCTGAAGTTAACAACACAGAAGATTAGATCAAACCTGACTCGTGACATTTTTCACATATTCTGATGGTCGGGTCAGAATTTGGCGTCAACAACACGAAAGCATTGATTCGTCCTGCCTTGTATCAACGGTTCAGGATGGTGGTGTAATGGTGTGGGGGATATTTTCTTGGAACACTTTGGACCCATTAGTACCAATTGAGTATTGTGTAAACACCACAGCCAACCTGAATATTGTTGCTGATCATGTCCACCACAGTGTACCCATCTTCTGATGGCTACTTCCAGCAGGATTAAACACCATGTCATAAAGCATGAGTCATCTCAGACTGGCTTCTTGAACATGACAATGAGTTCACTGTACTCAAATGGCCTCCACAGTCACCAGACCTCAATCCAATGGAGCATCTTTTGCATGTGGTGGAACGGGAGATTCGCATCATGTATGTGCAGACGACAAATCTGCAGCAACAGCGTGATGCTATCATGTCAATATAGAGCAAAATCTCTGAGTAATAGTTCCACAAAGGACTAAGGCAGTTCTGAAGGCAAAAGGGGGTCCAGCCTGGTACTAGTAAGGTGTACGTAATAATGTTGAGCATTTCAGTTCTTTTCCCATGTATGTTTGACTGCATTTTCTCTTGATAAACCAGCTGCAATGGCCAATTAGAAATCTGAGATATTTCATATGTGTATAGAAAATCAGAAATCTGTCACTTTTTGTCATAAAAAGCCTCAAAACAACCTTTCAGCGAAACAATGGATGCAGGACTACTCTATAGACCTTTTTCATGGCTGCTGCATGGAGGGCGCCATATCGACCAGCGTCTTCCGGTAGAATGCGAAAAACTTCCGTTTACAGCGTGTACAACTGGTAATTTGTGCTCCGAAAATGGGTTTAAATGACGTTTTTAATGGATAACAGAGTGTTTTTGTGACACACAACTTAGAAATGTGTCTGTTAAAGCCGTTATAATCAGTCACATGAGGTTATAGCGAGTCACAAATACGAGAAAAACGTTCTCCTAGTTCACGTGTCTGCTGTCAGTGTGTGTGTGCGTTCCCGGCCTGTCAGCTGTTAGCTCAGTGGCTCTTTAACACACACACACACACACACACACACACACAGAGAGAGAGAGAGAGAGAGAGAGCAAACCAGAGAACTGCCATGAAAGTTAACAGGTAAGTTATGAAAGTTGTGCAATTTACAAAAATGACCAGTAAAAGTCTGTTATTGATCCTCTGCTGGCTGATTTGCTGTTCATTCTAATCGCGAGCCGTTTGTGATTTATTTCGTGTGTTGTTTTCACCACGGTTTGTATTTTTCTGTCATTTCGATATTACGGTAGCCTATGTTTTCACTTTGTCACAGTTATTAAATCAGTGGGCTCTATCATACACCCGGCGCAATAGTCTTTTGGTAGTTTAAGCTTGGCGCAAGAGTGGTTTTGAGGCGTTGCGCTACGCTGTTTAAATAGCAAATGCATTAGCGCTCATTTGTGCGCCCATAGGCGTTCTGGTCTAAAAAGGAAGGCGTTCTGAGGCGGACCGCTGGCGCGTTGCTATTTTGAGAAACTATAATAGATTTTTCATTAGAACAAAACTAACCCGGTCTAAACTCCAGCGCAGAGTTGCGCCTCGCTTACACACTGCTTAATACACACAAGAGAGCAATAGGCAAATATCTTTACATATGAAAAAATGTCAATATTAAGGATATATATAGGATATAATAAGGACAGATATAGGATATAAATATAAAGGATTAAAATATTACAAAACTTATTATTTTCTAGCCTAAATATATATGAAAAATCACTGCTTTTATGTCTTCTTCATCTCGGGAGGCTTTTTCAGTTCATTCATAACAATTTGCTTTTGTATAATGTTATTATTTTTAGCAGTATTATTTATTATATCCATATTTATATTTGTTTTATTAAAAACAAGCTTAGATTTGCCCACATGTCAGGTTTTAGACCATATGGAGCACAGCATGTGTTTTAGGATATAACTCAGGTTTTTGAGCACACTTCATTATTAATGTTCATTTATTCATTTGCTGGAAATTAGAACTGAATTTAGAAATAGTTTTAAACGAATATTTGTGCTTAACAAACAAAAGTATTTATTTATAGACTAATGGATGTCTGTGCGTAAAGGTTTTCCTATCCAAGAGCGAAAGTGAAAGTGATCCATTATCTCTCATTCTCACGCAGTAGATGCTCTGTTTAACTGTTTTCTGTTAATAAACTGTTTGCTTGTGAAATGCTCATTTTTTCCACTTAGACTTACTTTGCGCCCTGTAAATAGCGAATGCGCTCTTGGCGCAACGCAGCTGGCTCTTAAAGGTAATGGGAGATGAGACTGCAATTGGTTTATTCTTAAAACACACCTATAACTCATTAAGAAAATAAACTCAACCCTTTTAGACCATGCGCCAAAGCGCAAGGCAGATTTCCTGTCCTTAAATTTGCAAAAACGCGTCCTGACAAAATAGAGCCCTTAGTGTGTCAGTGGCACAGTACAGGCTACGTGTGTGTGTCAAACATTTTGGTGAACTACATGTGTTTGGGCTGGTTATATATTTGAAATAAAGAGAAAAATGTTGACTTTAGCGATGACGAGGCTTCATTTAAACTGCAGAAGATGCCGTCTGACACCGAGGGGAAAACGCCTCACAGCAACTGTTTTCCATCCTATAAGATCGCATTTCTTTAAATGATCAGTCCAGGAGATGGTGCTGATGGCCAACAGTATTAGTTCAAAGAGGATAAAAGCAGGTAAATAGATTAAAACTATCGTTTCAAAGCTGTCCAAATGTGACGGTTTACACGCATCAGCTGCCGACCGGAAGTTCTTCGCATTCTCCTTGCGCATGCACGCAAAGCATAATGGGTAATTTTGCATTCCAAGAAAAAGGTCTATAGACACTTAAGATTAATATGCGATTGGGCAGAGTGAGCATGTTGCATCCCCTTTAAGCAGTGGATCCCTTTGTTTTTCTGAATTCTAAAAGATCACATTGTGGAAAGGTAGATGTTTAAGAGGTACCCGGTAAGGTCCGCCATTCCCGTCATCCAGTTCCAGTACGTAACCCTCTACAGGCAGGGCTTGGACTGTGGTTATCCTCCAGGCCAAGGTGGCGCTGTTGTTCCGCATGCAGCACTTCTCCAACTGCAGCAGCGGTGCAGGAGGCACTGTGGGGGTTTCTGCTAAAAGACAGAATTTACAGAGTACACACTTAATCAAAACACTGTCATTCACGGCAGATTCAGACAGGGGTAAACATGTAGTGACATGCATGGGGGTAAGCAGTTCCTGAAGGTCACTGGTGCCTCTAAAACATACGCAGGAGAAGGGGGCAGTGGGTTTGGGTGGGGGTCTAGTATCATAAAGGAACTGTTTGTAGCAGCTCTGAAATACCTCCGGTGCTTTCCTCCTCTTTCTGGTCACCTGCATGCATTTGTTTCAACAATGCAGCCTCCTGACCATCTGAAAGATGATATTGGACAAAGCAGGTGTTGCTTGTATGAGTCTAGAGGTAAAACTGTGGGGACCATTAACTGGGGACAATAGACAATGCATATTTTCAAATATTATATAATGCACCTTAAGTAGCACTAGGGCTGGACGATATGGCAAAAACTTATATCACAATATATTTCTTAATTTCGGTCGATACGATATAATTCTGATATCGATATGACAATATTAAAAAGCCAGGAAAGAACTGGCAAGACCACACACAATAGATGTCTATACCTACAAATGTCTGCAAACTGAGCTTGCAAAGTCTATATTGCCATCCAGGCTCTTATAACTTTTTCCTTTAAATGAAAACAGTACAAAAAAAATCAATGTTTACTTTTTTTTTGTATTAAGCCTTTACAAACAAGAAATATGAAAAAACTATCAAATAAATAAAACTGTCAGATTCAGCTTATTTATATATTGTTGCGATCACCAGCGATCTAACCATCAGAGGTCGCTGGTAAACACACACACACATAGGACTACAAAGCTGCATCTAAATGGACTACATATTCAGTCATGCCACACACACACACACACACACCTGCTTCAAGTCTCCACTGATTAGACTCCCACAGCTGATGCTGCTTCTAGACTGATCACTGCACTACATAAACAGCACAGAAACACTCACTGTTGCTGAGTCTTGTTTACTGATAGTGACATTACAACGAGTTTTCCTTTGTCTGCCTTTGCCGTGTTTTTGATCCTTTGCCTTGGTTATTTGTTTACTTCTGTTTGCTGCCTGCCTTTGACCATCTGCCTGTTATTTTGACTTCGACTCTGAATTACCCTCATACATCTGTTTGCCCCTGTATTGACCACTGCTTGCCTGACAATTTTAATAAACCTGCACCTGGATCCACGCCTCTGTTGTCAGTGTCACTCCCCGTCATTATATATATATATATATAATAGGCTGAGGGTTCTATCTGTCTATTTATATTTGGGTATAATTACCTAATTAAATTAAAAGGTTTAATCAAAAATATTTCTTTTATATTTTCTATAGTCTTTTTATATTGACTACTATTTTATATTATTTTATATAACACATTTTCATTATTTAACATATTTAATACCTCTATTAATCACATTCTTTCTATTTCATGAGCTTTGCAATAACCTGATTCCTGATAAATATGTTTGTAAATTCTATTTTGTACGTTTGTGCTATATGCCAGCATGCAGCGAGTTTATGTGTATAATGTGAGTATGAATTTGGGTGTTTGGGTGTAAGTATAAGCATAAGCACATAAGCGTAGCTACACCTACATTACCACTCAGTTCAAAGTTGATATCCAGCTTCTAAATGTTTTTGAAATAAATCTTTGATGAAAAAAATGCTAAATAGTAATATTGTGGAATATTCCATTTAAATAATAAATGATAATAAATAATAATAAATAATTAAATAAATTTTCCAATTCTGATTTTATTTTTGTTTAAGATTTATTTATTGGATTTGTATGACAGTTAACAAACAAAAGTAAAAAAGACAATGGGCTCTATTTTGACGGTCCATGCGCAAAGTCCAAAGCGCAGGGGGCAAAATCATTAAGGGTGTGTCAGTATTCACTTTTGCTAATATAAGGATGGAAAAATCCGCTTTGTGCCGTGGCGCATGGTCTAACAGGGTTGAGCTTATTCTCGTAATGAGTAATAGGTGTGTTTTGAGAATAAACCAATCAGAGTCTCATCTCCCATTCCCTTTAAGAGACAATTGCGTCGCGCCATGGTGCATTTGCTATTTACATGGCGGACTTCGTAAATGGAAAAACTGAACACTTCACTAATAAGAAAACAGTTACAGAGCATCTACCGCGCGAGAATGAGAGATGAGCCTCCTCATTGTTTACTTTCACTTTTACTCTTGTGGATGAGGAAACGTGTTGTACGCACAGACCCATAAATTATATTATTAACCATTATTATTATTAAATTATATATTAACCCATAAATAATTAATTTCATTTAAGCGTAAACATTTGTATCAAAACTATTTCTAAATTCAGTTTTAATTTCCAGCAAACAAAGAAATGAACAACAATAACGAAGTGTGATCAAAAACCTGAGTTATATCCTAATACACATGCTGTGCCCCATATGGTCTAAAACCTGACAGGTGGACAAATCTAAGCTTGTTTTTAATAAAACAAATATAAATATGGATATAATAAATAATACTGCTAATAATAATAACATTATACAAAAGCAAATTGTTATGAATGAACTGAAAAAGCCTCCCGAGATGAAGAAGGCAATGAGGCAGTGGTTTTTATATTTATGTCGGCTAGAAAATAATAATTTTTGTAATATTTTAATCCTTTAATTATTTTTCATATGTCAAGATATTTGCGTATTGCTCTACATCCTGTGTGTATTAAGGAATGTTTAAGCGAGGCGCACATCTAACGTGCTCTGCGCTGGACTTTAAACCGGCTTTGATCTGGTCTACTGTGCAGTCTATTATAGTTCCTAAAAATAGCAACGTGCCAGCAATGCGCGTCAACTCGCCTCCTTTTTTAGACCAGAACGCCTATAGGCGCACATATGAGCGCAAATGCGTTTACTATTTAAACAGCGTGCTGCAAAACGTCAAACGACTCTTGCGCCGAGCTGAAACTAGCAAACAACAATTGCGTTGCGCCTTGCGCTGCATTGCGCGGGGTGTATGATAGGGCCCAATAACAGTACAAATAGAAAAAAAAGTAATTAACAGTACAAAAATAATGAAAAGAATAACAACAAACCACACTATAACCCTCATATTGTGCGACACGCAGTATATGATGTGCAAAAACAATATATGATGTGCATTGATTTTTCAAATTGAGCATATAAACAGGTCAGTACCGGAAGTTGAGGTTGACAGCATGGTGCATTAAGTAAAATAAACAATGATAATAAAAGAAATAAAAGAAAATACAAAATTAAAAGCGAGAGAAAAGGGAAAATATATTAAAGTAAATAGGCTAAGGGGGGTGGCATGTTCTTCAAACTTGTGGTTTCATGTCAAGGAAGAGTTGTATGGTTGTGCTACATCAGCAGCACTAATACTCATCTGGAAGGCACAGATCAAAACAAAAATGCAAGATTGGCAACCATTCACTCCACAGTAACTGCCTCAAGTCTCAGAGGTTTGACATGCTCCAAGAATGGCAACCAAATATTAGAATAGTGGTTCTCAATCTGTGGCCTTCCTTCTAGTGGTACACAGAGATTTCAAATGTGTCATATGTACATGCTACATATATTTCAAAATTGATCAAAAATTATTCATATTTGAATATGACATATAATATTATTTATCTTATGACATATAGCCTATATTTCTGAGGTCCAGGCAACATTTCCAGGTGTTGATGAATTGGCTACTATATGTTAATACTTTACATTAAAGTACAGCACTATTCTTTTTACCTCAAGACATTGACATTTTTAGTTAGTTTGTTTTTTTACATATAAACACAATACAGTTCAGACTATTTATGTTTAAAGCTGCTGACAATAATAAATATTCTTAATAAGTAATAATAATTCTTAATAATTCTTAATCTGCCACGTTTTTGAACTGTACAGAGCTGTAGTTGCTTTACTGGGCTTACTACACTCCTGTATTTCAGTACTGCTCAATATGGTGGTACATGGAGAGAAGATTTTTTTCTGAGGTGGTACTTGATGAAAAACATTTGAGAACCACTGTATTAGAACATTTGACCACTGAACCTCGAAGACTATGTTTAATTTTTTCGAATTTACCAAAAAATAAGGCGTCTTTAATCCACTGAGTATGGGATGGGGGTTGAGGAGACTTCCACTGCAACAAAATGCACCGCCTAGCTAATAATGACAGAAAAGCTATTAATTCAGAAAAACATAATGATAACTTACAGTCATGGGGTAGAATGCCATCTGATTGTATTTTAAAGCATACATCATTCTAAGGCTTGGCTATCGCTTAATATTCGTGGTAGCCTTTTGTTTCAGTGGTTTCCAGAAAGTTTCAAAAACAATATTCATTTTAGAAATGCTTTGTATTATTAAAAACAGAACGATTGCAATGTATTTTTTTAAATCATACCTTATGAATCTCAAACTGAATACTCATACTGAACAGATTCATACTGTATACTACATTAAGTGCATCTAATGTGGAATTTTACTAAATCACCATCAAAATTGTAACTTCTAAAACATGTCAACCTTATTATGTAAGTGTTTAGCAATATTTGTTATCGGTGGCCACAAACAGTTACTATTAAATCTCATCCATTTGGTGTTTTTACATATTCACCTTTATTCTGGGTGAAGTCCAGCTGGAGAATGGACTGCATCAGAGGGTCTGTGTTGACGGTCAAGGCGAATTCTGGACAAACTTTTGGCTCCAATGCACCTTTTACCCACTGGTCCTGAGACGCCAGGACGCGCTTTATCAATGCATCTGAGATCTGAAAGAAAAAGTTCAAGAAAATCGAATTTGATTACGTCATGTTGACATACATTAAATTGAAATGAAATTGTTGAAGTTGTAACATAAAAAAACAATCATAAATACGAACACGACACTGGAAATAACAGCTATTTTACACCTAACATAACTAACCTACCAAACTACTAACTATACATATAAATACACACTTAAATAATGATGTTTGTTCAAACTACTTGATTAAAATGAGCTAAAACAACACAATTCTTGAGTTTGTTTAGGACAACTTAATTGTTTTAATGTTCAATCCACTTAAATTTGTACAAACTAATGAGTTACCTTAATATCTTAATGTTGTAACAACACAAATCAATTGTGTGGAACCAAGTATTTTACAATATTGTGCATGAAAATGCACAATAAGGTTAAAAAAAAAAGGTTGAAAAATCAAGTACATTCAAAAGCAAACACTGTTTTCCTTATTGAGTCCTTGTAAGATGGAGTTTAAGTAAAGTGTCCGGTGCACATGGAGAGAAGAGTGTTTTACAAGTGGTTTGTCAAACCCACTCACTTGTGTGAGGCGCACTCAGAAATGCACAATGTTTTTATAGAGATATGGAGTTATTAAGAAAGAGTACGAGATTGTATTAATTGTGTAAAAGTGTATTTATTTTATTTCTATATTTTGTTTTGCAGGATAATTAATAATCACCATTGTACACTGTTAGCCCGGATTTCATGTTTATTTGTACAGTTTAAGTGCAAAGTACTTAAATAATTTATTATTTGGTTCATTACTATAACATTTTAAGTGAATTCTACTTTTTTGTAAACAAAGTTTCTTGTGTGAATAACTTTAAGTACTAATGTTTTCAAAGTTTTTGACTGATCACACCCCAACCCCAACCTGACTTACAGTTCAAGTCAGGCAACGTCATTTTCTCGCTGTTGCAGTAGCAGGTGATTTCAGACTTTCGGTGAGTAGACAGTAAACATTTTATCGGCTATTTGTAACAACTGTTAATCCTCAAGTTAACTTGTGCTCAGTTAACTTGAGGGTGAGTAACTTTCCATTTTTTGGGTGAACTATCGCTCAAGTCTAGAAGTTAAAAGAAGTGTTCATGTTCTCTGGGATTTTAACAACATATTTAGCGAGCATTTAAAACTGTGGTTACTATCTCTTGTTGGAGTAGATGCACTTAAGAGAAAAGTAGGCAAACTGATTTATAAGTTGTATTGCACAGCATTTAAATTGTTTTTTTATATCTTGAAAGGTAATTTGAATAAAAACAACCCTGTGTATTATTTCTGCGCTTATTTTAATGCAATTAAAAAGATAAGTGGAGTAAATTCCTTCATTTTCTTGTCGGCTTGGTCCCTTTTATTAATCCGGGGTCGCCACAGCGGAATGAACCACCAACTTATCCAGCACGTTTTTACACAGCGGATGCCCTTCCAGCCGCAACCCATCTCTGGGAAACATCCACACACACATACTCTCATACACTATGGTCAATTTAGCCTACCCAATTCACCTGTACCGCATGTCTTTGGACTGTGGGGGAAACCGGAGTACCCGAAGGAAACCCATGCGAACGCAGGGAAAAAATGCAAACTCCACACAGAAACCTTCTTGCTCTGAGGCGACAGCACTACCTACTGCGCCACTGCATCGCCTGGAGTAAATTGACTCTAATAATAAGTAAGTATTAAGTCTATTCAACTTATGATGCATATTTGAACAACTCTTATCTTTTAAGTAGAGCTCACTCAAGTTTTTTAAGTATACATTACTTAAATTTTTTAGGACAACCAGTTTCCTCTTTTGGCGAGGCAGTGGCGCAGTAGATAGTGCTGTCGCCTCACAGCAAGAAGGTCGCTGTTTCGCTGGTTCGAACCTCGGCTCAGTTGGCGTTTCTGTGTGGAGTTTGCATGTTCTCCCTGCCTTCGTGTAGGTTTCCTCCAGCTGCTCCGGTTTCCCCCACAGTCCAAAGACATGCGGTACGGGTGAATTGAGTAGGCTAAATAGTGTATGAGTGTGTGTGTGTGGATGTTTCCAAGAGATAGGTTGCAGCTGGAAGGGCATCCGCTGCGTAAAAACTTGCTGGATAAGTTGGCGGTTCATTCCGCTGTGGCGACCCTGGATTGATAAAGGGACTAAGCCGACAAGAAAAAGAATGAATGAATGAGTTTCCTCTTTTTTTTAAGTAAACTCAACTTATCGGGGCTTAGAGTGTATATTCTTAATTAACATACTTTGAAACTAAATGACGAGACATGTATTGTTTTGGTGAACTTCTTCTTTAAGGACAAATCTGCTAACTTTTGTAAACTATAAAAGACTTGGTTTAAGAGATTTTACTGTGTTTCAGTCATTCACTTTTCTCTTTTGTGTTTTGAGGATCAAGGCAAACTGATGTACAGTCGGTCGGTCTTCTCTCTCTTCCTCTGTCTGTCTTTTAAGAAATCTCCGCTGGCCAGGGATCTCTGACTCGCATTACATGCTTTGCGAAGGCACTCAAAGAAACATCTCAATCAATACTTCATAAAAATTGCAGTAAAGAGGCAGCGCTGCTCGTCTGGAGCAGTCTTCTCTTATTATTGTACAGTCAAAGCTATGAAACCTCAGTTATTTAAAGAGTTTAAATGCTGAGGGTCGATCTAAACAGCAGGTAAACTCCTGCAGAGGAAACCTGTGGAAGCTTGTTCCCATACTTTAATCCAATCCAAAAATAAATACATATTCCTAGTTTATATTTCACAACACTGACATTTTTCAGCTTTTTTCTACAAATTACAAAAATCTTTTCATTTCTTGTATACTATCTTGCATTGTATTACGGATCAATATTGTGTAAAAGAGATAACTTGAGGTTGAATTAAACAAGTGCAATATGGTTGTGTGGTACATTCACAATTAAACATTGTTTGCCTTATTGAATCCTTGTATGGAGTTTAAGAAAAGTGTTCGGTGCACATAGAGTGATTCTACAGGTGGTTTGTCAAGCCCACTCACCTGTGTGAGGCACCCTCAAAAATGCAAAGTTTTTTGCTCTACAAATGAAAAAATTTACTTATTAAAATATTTTCAATTATAACGCAGTGGCGCAGTAGGTAGTGCTGTCGACTCACAGCAAGAAAGGTCGCTGGTTCGGGCCTCGGCTGGGTCAGTTGGCGTTTCTGTGTGGAGTTTGCATGTTCTCCCCGCGTTCACGTGGGTTTCCTTTGGGTTCTCCGGTTTCCCCCACAGTCCAAAGACATGTGGTACAGGTGAATTGGGTAGGCTAAATTATCAATATTGTATGAGTGTGTCTGGGTTTTTCAGTGATGAGTTGCAGCTGGAAGGGCATCCACTGACCGTTGGCGGTTGACGGTTCATTCCGCTGTGGTGACCCCAGATTAATAAAGGGACTAAGCCGAAAAGAAAATGAATGAATGAAAACAAGAAAGACTTTCACCAGAAGAGAGCTAATTATTTTGACTTCAGCTGTATATATATATATATATATATATATATATATATATATATATATATATATATATACATATATATAATGAAAAGTAACTAGCAACTATTTACGTAATATTTTCATCAGATACTTTTTTACTCTTACTCGAGTAACTTTTAAGATTGTTACTTTTACTTGAGTAAAAATTTCTGCAAGTACTTGTACTTGTACTTGTGTAGATTTTAGATACTCAACATACCTCTGCATTTTTCCTACCATAGAAGCCAATGGGCATTCTTCAAAATATCTTCTTTTGTTTTCAATAGAGGAAAGAAACTCGTTAAGGTTTAAGAAGCAAATGATGAGGTCATTTAAGATTCTGGGTGAATAATCCTTTTAAATATGGAAGTAAAACTGCTGTTTTTTAAAGCGATTAGTTGACTTTACTTGAAAAAAGTGAGTAAACCTGTTGCGTTCAAATTATTAAGCAAATAAATATAAGTGCACAATTATAAGTCAACTTAACAGTTCCAAGTTAATGCAGATTTTCTTACTTTTTTAAGTAAAGTAACTAATCCCTTTTTATTAAATTGTACACTCAAAAAATGACTTTTGCTACTTGTTCAAAGGTAAAATGAGCTGAAACGACACAATTCTTGAGATTTTTTTGATTGTTTGATTGCTTCATTCTTTTATGTTCAATCCACTTTAATTAATTGATTTGTGTTGGGACAACATGGAGGAATAGTGTAAAACCCAGCTTTGTTCCGATGTACTGTCTTGATTCCTGTTTGTATCTGTTAGTACCTGTAGGAATCCACTGGGATCGTTCTCTTTGATAACCTCCAGACAGAACTCCATCATTCCTGTGGTCTGTCGGAGCTTCATGGTGCAGTGGGTTATCTGATCTTTTACAGTCTGAAACAAGAGAGGACACAGTTAAATCCACATCACACATACACACATATCCAGTCTGAGCCGTGGCATAAAAGCCAGTCAATCAAAGTCACGTTCAGGCTTGGTGAGTGTCACATCAGATAAACGCTTCAAAGAGATACCGTATAAAGTCATAAAAACAATACCATCACACACATCTACAGGCGGAAAGCTGCAAATCCTGATTTGTATGGTTGTCAAGGATTTACAGTCCATGCCAAGTCTCACCCAATCAAGAGAATACTCTATTATTCTGCATATGCATCCCCAAGATGTTCATTTTTCTGGTCAAATTGTTCTGACAGAGTTTAATGGAAGAGAGTATGGTTATTACCTGAAAAAGTCATAGGCAATAAAATAAGAAAGATACATTCTTATAATTTTCATAATGTATATCCAACAGGTTGCTAATTATTATGATACATCTAACTAGTGTACTTTCTGCAACATTGTTGGGAAATAGGAATACATTTTTTTTATTATTTTTGTCTCTTTTTCTTTTAATCAAACAATTATTTGTATTGGTCATGTAAGGGTCATATAATAACTGATTTTCTACTGTTGTGTGTGAGATGCTGTGCATACTAATGGCCCGTTTCCACTGAGAGGTACGCTTTTATTGCCGTTTCCTAGAGCTGTGAACCTACACTAGTCTCACGGTTCGGTTCGGTTATGATTATCATGCCATCGATTCGGTTCAATTCGATATTTCGGTGCATCACGGTGCATTGACGATGCTTTTCATACACAGTTTTATATTTTCTTCACAGCAGCAGTTCTAGTATTAAAATGCATGAATATATTAATGTTTATATACTATCTGTAATACAATTTTGTCATTTAATACAAACCGTCAGATATATAAACTGTAACTTTAAACAAAACGAGCATTTGGCAAATAATATAAACAAATGTAAATATCCAGCTCACTTTCTGATCCTTGCCTTGTTCTCTTACACCCCTTTGATTGGTCACACCCTCAACAAAAACGGTTGCGATTGGCTCTTGCGCGGTGCGCTCTTCACAGATGAGTGACACTGATAAGCGGCAGGCGGCAGCGGCGATCTCACAGCTGATGTATGATAGACACGGTGGAGAAAACTCTGCAGACACGCGCTCGTTTCTTTATCCAGAAGTAACGCTGTAAAACAGCCGAGAGGAGAAGAAGTCACGCCAGAAGGTCAAACGGGCCACTGTGTGTGTGAGAGAGAGAGAGAGAGCGAGAGAGAGAGAGAGAGAGAAATGAAGTACTTTCATTATCTCGATCGCAGTGAAATAGGGGCTTTTGTTGTATATGTCAGTGAAAGACTGATCCAGCAAACACACGCATGGAAATTGTGCACAGTTTATAAGTTTTAAGTAGTCAGAACGTTGTAAATACTCGCGATCGTCTTCCTCGCGACAGAGCGCATATGAGGTAAATGACGTCAGTAATAACCGGTTATGATTATTACTGAACCGATACCGAATTGTCCGCGTCTGCATCGCGGTGCACCGAAAAAACAATTAATTTTGACACCCCTGCCGTTTCCGCTGTCTAAAGTCGTACCGATCCAAACCGTACCGTACCACTTTTTCGGCACCCTTTCGAAAGAGTCCCAAACACAAGAAAGGGTACCAAAAGGCGGAGCTAGACGCGCAGCTGAACGCTATTGGTTTACAGAGATACGTCATTCGTTTGAGCAACGAGCCAGAATGTAAACAAAGGACCCGCCATGTTTGAAATACACAGCAAGAAATTACAGCAGAATTATATATTCATATAATATCGAGCCATGGTCGATCCGGGCTCAAACAGACCTTGTCGTCGTCTTGATGAACAGCCACGCAGCCATGGAGTAGAGCAGATTTACCCTGTGCCACGTAGTTTTTAACGAGCCAGTCTGAAGCACGAGCGGTTTCGCTTTCTTGGTTGCTTCTAAATCTGAAATAACAGACTTCTTGAGCTGATAATAATAAAGTGCACTTGATTATTGACAAGCTTTGGAAACCCGATCCTGTGAGAAGCTGACAAACGCGAGAGTGACAACATTCAGAAAGAAAAGGACAAACGCGAGAGTGAAGCGCGGAAAAAAAGCCGGGAAAAAGGGAGCACGTTATTTCTTCAGCAAACGTGAACAAACTGCCTTGTTTTAATCTTTATTATCACCTTTTGGACTAATATGAACTGGGAACAGGGCCGGAGTGGGACACCTTTTCAGCCCTGGAGTTTCAAGCCTCAGACCGGCCCACCTCAGTTCACAACTGACTATATTAAAATAAGGTCATTTCCAAATCAGTTTCTAATGACACTATCACGTCTTTTTTTGAGAAAACAGCTGCTTTAGAACTTCAAATGTTCAACAACCCTAACAGTACTATATGTCTTAAAAATAAAAATGAAAACAATAAGTTACTCTAACGAGGATCGAACCCGGATCCGCAGCATCTTGTTCTAACGTGCTAACCGCTGGACCACAATAGCTGCATTCAGAAAGGAGACACAACTGAGTTTTATAATCATTAAAATTGTTGCGGTAAAATGATGAATAAAAAGGCTGTGGTCAAGTAAATAAATAAATTTGAAAAGTGTGACTGCTGAGAGCAACAGATTCTGCAACTAGGGACACCGGCCCTCGCGGCCAAAAAACGGACCGGCCCACCGGGAATTCTCCCGGTCCTCCCGATTAGCCAATCCGGGCCTGACTGGGAATGATGGAATTACTCTCTAACAGAGACCACATGTGCTGCTGAAGATTACAGACACAGATGAGAGGTTTACTCTGACTGTAGGCTATACTTTGTTTTGTTTTGAACCTAATTAAGAACGAAATGTACGCTGTGTGTAGTTTTTCTGCAGTTGGTAACATATCGAGGACGGTAAGGGTCTGTATGTGTTCATATTTGTTCATTTATTTATTTATTTTATATAATTACAGACGTTCCAGTAGCCTATTTTGTCATTGATCTGCAGTTATAATCAAATCATGTTCATAGAAAAGTTCGTAATAAACATTTATACACAAGTATTTATGTGTGTAAAGCGTCTGTTTTGTGAGAAGTGCTTTTAATAGGATATTTGAATGGCCTGTGCAGCTTTATTGTAGACATTTATTCGAGCGAGATTGATGCGACTGAAACTTTGAAACCGACCCGGACCGTACCGTACTGTACCAGTCAGTGAAAACGAGGCATAATAAGCATTTTTGCAGAAGTAGATAAATGCTGGTCCAGAATTAAATTCAGCTGTGCAAAAACTTCCTGTCTGAAGAAAAGAGCTAAAACTGAACACAGAGCACAAAAGTTTTATGCTTTTATTGTTGTGCAGAGGATTCGTATAGAAAAAGAGGACTTATTTCTGGGGTGCAGCCAATGGAGGCCTGTAAATATTAAGTAAATTCTCATTTTTTGGGTGAACTACCCCTTTAAGTTCAGGAAATTGCCTCAAAAATACATGCTGAAATAGTTTCTCACAGATTCTCCCTTACTAAATTACTAGTAATAAACAATACTACTAAAGTACTAAAACTTTTCACCCGTATACAGTGTTTTAGTCATTCATTCATTCATTTTCTTGTCGGCTTAGTCCCTTTATTAACCCGGGGTCGCCACAGCAGAATGAACCGCCAACTTATCCAGCAAGTTTTTACACAGTGGATGCCCTTCCAGCTGCAACCCATCTCTAGGAAACATCCACACACACACATAATTTAGCCTACTCAATTCACCTGTACCGCATGTCTTTGGACTGTGGGGGAAACCGGAGCACCCGGAGGAAACCCACGCGAAGGCAGGGAGAACATGCAAACTCCACACAGAAACACTAACTGAGCCGAGGTTCGAACCAGCGACCTTCTTGCTGTGAGGCGACAGCACTACCTACTGCGCCACTGCCTCGCCTACAGTGTTTTAGTCTTGGAAAAATCTATGATCCTGAGGATATAAAATCTATAAACAGCTCCCACAGCAGATTGTTTTTTCCTTGAGTAGTCTAAATATAATAGAAATGTCAAGGACTAGATTCTCTCTTTTATGCAACCCACCAACATGCGTAAAAAATCGATTGTAAGAATGTAAAATCACTACAGGCTGTGCTTCACAAGTGACGCTCTCTTTGTTTTCTGAGGAAGTTGTGCACAGATTTAGTCCTCACATGAGTCAACTTGTGTAATAAAGTGACAGTTCACCCAAAAAAATGAAAATGCTGTCATCATTTACTCATCCTTCACTTGTTCCAAATCTGACACAAAAGAAGATATTCTGAAGAATGACACCGCTAACTATGGGTATGGACACCCATGACATGAGGGGTCCCGGGAGGTTCAATTCTAATCCAAGTTTTTTACTTCTGACAGGGAGATGAATATTTCATCATATCTCTTCTATCGGTGACGCAGTGGCGCAGTGGGTAGCACGTTCGCCTCACAGCAAGAAGGTCACTGTGTCGCTGGTTCGATCCTCGGCTCAGTTGGTGTTTCTGTGTGGAGTTTGCATGTTCTCCCTGCGTTCACGTGGGTTCCTCCGGGTGCTCTGATTTCCCCAGTCCAAAGACATGCGGTACAGGTGAATTGGGTAGGCTATATTGTCCGTAGTGTGTGTGTGTATGTGTGTATGTTTTCCAGAGATGGGTTGCGGCTGGAAGGGCATCCGCTGCGTAAAAACTCACTGGATAAGTTGGCGGTTCATTCCACTGTGGCGACCCCAGATTAATAAAGGGACTAAGTCGACAAGAAAATGAATGAATGAATCTCTTCTATCTTAACCTCTTTGCATTGGCTATCAGTTAAACGGCAAAAAGGGTTTAGAATTTAAAGCGTCACACGGCCTTGCACCAACATACTTCTGACATTCTACATTATTACACTCTGTCTAGGTCAATTAGATCTGGCAGCCTTGGAATGCTGTCTGTTTGTAGATCTTTATTCATTCATTTTCCTACGGCTTAGTCTATATTTGAGAGGTCGCCACAGCGGAATGAACCGCCAAATGCCCTTCTAGCTGCA